CTTCATTCAAGTGTGAGATATTGAAAGAAAATCCGTTTAAGCAAGTGTCAGACTTTTACTCTGCCTCAGGTATCTTAATTCAGCTCTGTCTGTGGGACCTTAATCTCAAATCTCAGAAACCCCATCTTACTAACTCCACCTCGTCGGCTCTGCAAATCACTACCTCCCCATATCCTGTGGAACTGCTCCTCTAATCAGAATCTGGAGAGGTTGTCTGGGTGGAGCTCCTGGTGTGTCCCTGTAGCCAGTTAGACATTGGTTGATACAATTTTGCTGCTTGTAACAGCTAGTGACTGGACTAGCTGAACTTACTTGGTTTGTTCCTCTATTTCAGAGTAATTCAAATAAAACTTTATAGTAGTTAGTATATGTGATATACATGTGTAGATGATCACAGTTCATGCCTTTCACCAAACACTTTCATGCCTCTGTGCCTTTGTTCCTCCCATCTTCTATCCCTCAAATATCTTTTTCTAATGAAATACTTCTCATCCTTCAGGGCTCAATTCAAGCGCCTCTTTCTCTATGAAGCTTGCCCCAATCCTCTAAGTCGTAATTAGTCAATCCCTCTTCTACTACATTCTCAGACTGCATTATTAGTATTTCTTCCTGCCAGGAATTATAGGCAATAGTCTCTACGTATTTACTTATTTATTTTTCGAGATGGGGTCTTGTTCTGTTGCCCAAACTGGAGCGAATGCAGTGGTATAATCCTAGCTCACTGCAGCCTCGATCTCCAGGGCTCAAGCAACCTTCCTACCTCAGCCTCCCAGGTAGCCGGGACTACAGGTGCACACCACCACACCAGACTAATTTTAAATTATTTTTTGTAGAGGCGAGGGCTCGCTTTCTTGCCCAGGCTGGTCTTGAACTCCTTGGCCTCAAGCAGTACTCCCCCATCAGCCTTCCAAAGTGCTAGCATTACAGTCATGACCCACCATGCCCAGCTGACCATTTCATATTCATATCCATTGTATCTGGCAGGTAATGATTCTTTTTTTAATTTCTTTTTTTTAAATCCACAAATTATAAATTGTATATATTTAGAAAGTATAGTGCAATGTTATGATATGTGTATTCAACATAGAATAAGTAAATCAAGCTAATTAGCCTACCTGTCACCTCATATATTTGTCATTGTTGTGGTGAGAACATTTCAAATTTATTCCCTTAGTAATTTTGAAATATACAATATATTAACTAAAGTCAGCCTGTTATGCAATAGATCTCAAAAATGTATTCCTCCTGTCTTACTGAAAAGTGTATCCTTTGACCAACATGTCTCCATTCCACCCCCTCACCCATCCACCCCCAGCCTTTGGAAACCATCATTCTACTCTTGACTTCCATGAGTTTGACTATTTAGATTCCACATGTAAGTGAGCTCATGTAGTATTTGCTGTTTGGTGCTGGCTTACTTCTCTGAGCGTAATATCTTATGATCCTAGAGTGCCGGACTTGAAGCCTCAGAATAAACATGGCATATCTCCTTATAGTAGCAATTTTACTCTTTATATTAGCAATTTTACTTTTTATACTAACAATTTTACTTAATTTTCAGCAATTAAAAAATTATCAAATATTTTTAATGTTCAGATATTTTATGGAGGGGAGTGCAAAATTAGCTGGACTTTTAAAGATAACTACATTTAAATCATTTGTTCACATTCCTCTGACATGGGAACTATTTGCAGTGGGCACTCAACACAAGTTTGAGTTGAATTTAATTTCAGGAGATGTTTATAATCAATTATTTCTTTCCCTAAAAAAAACCCACAGAACTTTATTTATTCATATTAACAGCAAGAAGACCATTCTTTTTTAAAAAAAATTAATGAGTTAGAAAAGGCAAACTGGAAAAATCAATGTTATTTCACCTAAATTGTAAATTTTGGCTTAACAAAGCTCACTATTTAAACATGTCTGAGAAACCTTTCAGAGCACTACCCTTTGGCAAAGACCAAATGATTCTTTGTATTTAAAAAAATTTTTATAAGATACATTATACACGTAAAATAGCATATGCAATACATGTACAGTTTACTTTTCCAAGTCTTTACAGTATCTGATAAGTAAAAAATTTAACTGAATAATAAATAAGTATTTATCCAGTGAAATATCCTTGAGACTTTATGAAGCCACTGCCAAGAAGTAGAGCATAAAACTAATATTTTCCTTTTTTTTTAAGTATATCAGGTTAAGTACAGCCAAATAGAAATGAATCAGCTATGATGTTATCTGCAAGCCTTGCTTTATACTACATTGCTTTCAAATCTCAATTATAAAAGCAATACATGCTTAATGTAGAGATGTTAAAAGCCTGACCCACTGGACCCTTTTTTTCTTTCCTGCTCATTGTAGGTGGAAGGGTCAATGGGAAGTCACATGGCCCATCTGGAGCGCCTGGAAGACAGCAGAGGGCATGACAATGGCTAAATCAGGAGCGAGCGATCCACCTTGAGTGACTGACACTAGCTAATCTGTGCATGGGACTTACTGCAGCCAAGGAGTCAATGTGCTGCCCAAATTTTGTGTTTGACATATACCCCTTTTATCTCATACAGTTTCAGAACTTTATTCTCCCAACTTCCTTTGTAAAAGCAATGACTTTGCAATCAATTCCATTTTATTTTAGCAATATATATATTTTCAATAATATATCATTTAGTCAATGATCCCCTCCAAAATCAGAATCAAATAGTCTTATCTACTTTTTATACCTTATTCCGTCATCCGAATTATTATTCCCATGATGATTTATTTAGCCATGCACTAATATAGACTTTCTGCCTACCGATGAAAGTCTTGATCAAAATCATTCCGTGACTCCTGAAGTTCAAATGTCCTAAACCAGCGGACAAACCCCTTTGAGTTCTGGCTTCTGCCCAGCTCTGCAGACTCACCTTTAGTCGCTCCCATACACACTGGGCTCCTATCACAAAGACAGTCATGGTTCCCCATCGATTCTAGCTTCTGGGGCTGTTCCCTCTGCGGACATCCTTCCCCTGCACCAGGCTAGTTGTCAAACTCCTAATGTCCTTCAAAATTTTGTGCAAATGTCATTCTTCCCTGTCTTCTTGATATGTCCCAGGAGAGTTAAGCCCTGTTTTTCTGTGCTGTGGTATAGCATCTTGTCTACATTTCCATTATAGTATTTCTATCCAACTATACATTTAAAAGTCTCACTTCTACAAGATCAGGGGTCCATACCCTCAAGGTTTCCACGAATCCTCTAAATTATAGGCAAAATTGTACAGGTTCATTTTCTTCTTGGGAAAGAGTTCAGAGCTCACAGCAGTCTCTCAAAGGAGTCTATAATTACTCTCTCAAAAATAAACTTAGAACCACTGCACTAGATTGTGAGTCCCTGGGAAACAGAGAGTGAGTTCTAGAGTTCTTTGTGTCTCTGCAGATAGATGCCTAATGTTAGCTGAATGAGCATTTCAGTTATTGTGTAGAGGTAGATGCTTATTCTAGTAAAGATATATAGTAAATTCAGCCTCCTCTGTTTTTTGATTTAAGTAGATAGAAAGTGTGATTCTGTGAAAAGTGTGAATATTTTTCATACATTCAAGTGTGATACTGTGAAAATCCTTCCATATCTTTCTCTTGCCAACTGTACGATGAAAAGTACACTGGGTTGAGCCAGGTGTGGTGGCTCAAGCCTGTAATCCCAGCACTTTGGGATGCTGAGGCGGACGGACCACTAGGTCAGGAGTTCGAGACCAGCCTGACCAATATGATGAAACCCCATCTCTACTGAAAATACAAAAATTAGCAGGGCGTGGTGGTGTGTGCCTGTAGTCCCAGCTACTCGGGAGGCTGAGGCAGAAGAATCACTTGAATCCGGGAGATGGAGGTTGCAGTGAGCCAAGATTGTGCCACTGCACTCCAGCCTAGGTGACAGAGTGAGAATCAGTCTCAAAAAAAGAAAAAAAAGAAAATTACGCTAGGCAAAAAGAAAGATATGGAAGTATTTATACCAAACTACTAACAGTGGTTATGCTTGGAAAGAGGAATGGGGTTAGGGGTAGGACGGGCTTTTAAATCTTACTTAAACTCTTCTGTCATGATCACGTTTGTATTTTATTTTACAATGAGCACTTTTGGGTTTTGAAATTTAAAAATAATGTTTTAAATTATGAGACTTTTTTCTTAAGTGTGTCAGACATCTAGCTTCCAATCCCAGCTCTGCTACTTACTTCGTTTTATGACTTGGGAAAGTTTTAATCTTCCTAAGCCTATGCTCCCTCAACTGTCAAGTGGGCATAATAGTTACCTAGCCCACATGGTTATTAAGTGACAAAGCCCAGCATGAAGTAGGAACTCAGAATACATCACTTCAATGGAAAGTAAATGTCATCTGTTTTTCGCAATCATCAAAGACGTCCAAAATAGAACTTAATTAAAACATAGTATGACTGAGTGCAGTGGCTCACACCTGCAATCCCAGCACTTTCGGAGGCCAAGGCAGGCGGATCACTTGAGGTCAGGAGTTCAAGACCAGCCCGGCCAACGTGGTGAAACCCTGTCTCTAATTTCAAAAATTAGCTGGGCATGGTGGCGTGAGCCTGTAATCCCAGCTACTCGGGAGGCTGAGGCAGGAGGATTGCTTAAACCTGGAAGGCAGAGGTTGCAGTGAGCTGAGATCACACCACTGCACTCCTGGGTGACAGAGCAAGACTCTGTATAAACAAAACAAAACAAACAAACAAACAAAAACAGTTCATTCTTGTCTCAATGCTATAAGCATTCATTCATATATGCAATCAAGTCTGATGCAACACAGCTGGTTTAGAAGGTGGCTATTTGCCCTTACTGCTAGCTAATTAAGTAATCTCACAATTTGTTTATTTGACGGTTATCAAACCAAGAAGGGTTATAAAATTCTACAAAGAAATTTATAATACTTCTGCTTCAAGAATGATCACTGGTTTAAGCTAAGCTCTCAGTTTGCCTGTGTTCTTATTAGAAAACAGTTCTTTGCAATTTTCACTCACCTCGTGCCCTGTCTCCACCGGGAGACATCACAGCATGTTTTTTGAAGTCTTCTTCTTGTTTTCTCTAGAAGTTCTGTAAAAAAAACAAAACGCCATTGATAATGATAGCTACCTTGCATTTTATACCATCATTTTTTTCCTATAATTTGTAATTAAAAGTTCTCATTATATATGCAATTCACTGTTGTTATAAATTTCTAATAGGTAAAAAACATATACAGTAAAAAAGTAAAAGTCTTTGTTTCTTTTAGTCTTTTAATTTTTAAGTCACTTGGTATTGAGTAAGTACAATCACGTCAGTATTCATATGTTTGGGGGACTATTAAAAATAAATTTCTATGTATTTAAAAACATAGCTGGAGAACTCCAACATGGCTGAGGGGGCATTGCTGAATCAGAAGAGTTCAAAGCAGTTGATGCGACCTTAAAATATTGAAAGCCACAAATCTAGAGTCTTTTCTAATATTCCACATTAAATCACCTACTTCAAGTGACAAGTGAAATGTGTTTGTAATAGGTTTTTCTTTAGAGGCCAATCAAAGTGATCTATACTCAAAATTAAGAACAAATCTATTTAGAAAACATTCTGTGATTTATATAATTTTTGCTGCAGTACAGGCAGTTTGGCCAATTCACCGAATCTTCCTGGACTTCGGTTTCCTGACCTGTATGATTGGCTTAGTAATAGTAATACTCGCCTCACAGCGTGGATGTGAAGAGTCAGGGACCTGAAGCCCGGAGGGAGGGAGACTGGGATGTAGAGTGCGGGGAGGGGCAAAGCCTTACTTGGTCACCTTTTGTCATTTTATCAAGAGGCCTTTATCCTGGGTGAATCTGTTTATTCCCAGCTTGGCTTGCTCTTTTTTTCCTTTAACTTAACAGATTTTTTTTTCTTAAAAGATTACTTTTGTACATAATGCTGTACTTTGTCTAAAGGAATATAAGAGGCCATGTAAGGCTGGATACTGGCTCTGACAGACACTGCTAGTTGCCACCCAGGATTCATTCTCTTTTTTTTTGGAAACCCAGTTAAAAGACTGTATTCCCCCTCTTCCTCACAGCTAGTGTAACCATGAGTCTAGATTTCTACCCATGCAATACAAGGAGAAACACTGAGTGATCACTGGGAAGTTTCCTAAAAGGGAGAACACACCTTTTTTCCCCATTCTTCATTCTTGCTGGCTGAACACCAGTGAGATAGGTGGAGACCTAGCAACCTTCTTGGACCAAGAGTTGATATACTAAGGATGGCAGAAGAGCAGATGAGAGGAACCTGGGTGCCTCACACCAAGGAACTCATCTAACAGCACTGGACTGCCTACCTTTGTGGGGTTGTTTGTTTGTATGTTTGTTTGTTTTTAATGTAAGAGAGAAATACACTTCTAGCTTGTTTAAGCCCCTATTCTTCCCCTCCCCCCCGCCCCCTAACCCCGGCATATACAGATTAACCCAAACCTTACTGATATGCTGGTCTTCTAGGAAGCTATCCAGAGCCCAAAAGCAAAAAAAAATTTTTTTTGAATAAAAGGCAGGTTTTCTCTCTGAAGCCCAGGCTGGAGTGCAGTGGTGTGATCGTGGCTCACTGCGGCCTCAACCTCCCGGGCTCAAGCAATCCTCCTGCCTCAGCCTCTGAGTAGCTGGAACTACAGGTGCATGCCACCATGCCTGGCTAATTTTTTGTTTTTGTTTTTTTGTTTTTGACAGAGATGGGGTTTTGCCATGTTGCCCAGGCTGGTCTCGAATTTCTGGGCTCAAGTGATCCCAGTGTCTCGGCCTCCTAAAGTGTTGGGATCACAGATATGAATCAGCCTGGCAAGAACGACTTTTAATTCTGTAAAGTTTTCTTATATTTCCTTGGAGCCTATGTGTGCTTTCTGCTAATTAACAACAAAGTCTTCAGTCTTCAGACTTCAGAAGTCTTCACTCCAGCCCTTGTTTGTGCCCTGTCTCCCTTGAATTGCCTACATTTTAGATACTACTCACTCATTTGAGCTCCTCAGATAGAAACCTGGAAAACGAGGCAACTCGATCGGGAAAAAAAGAAGAAAGTTTGCCTAAAATTAAGTTTTTAGGGGTTTAAACAGAGTTCACATGCATTCAACAAGTATTTAATAAGCATATACCATATAAAAGGCATTGTACCAGGTGTTGGGAGAAATGCAAGGATGTCATTGTTTCTGCTTCCAGTCTAGTAGGGAAGATGAGACACACAAATAACTGTAACATGTCATGGATTGTGACAAATGAAAAAGAAAAGTGTAAAGTGCCTAAAATTTTCAGAGAAAAGATGTATTCCCTTGTGGGGATTAGATAAAGCTTCATTAAGAAGACAGGATTTGAGCCAGGCTTTGCACGATATGTAGAAATGGTCAAAAGGGGATCACCAGAGGGGCCAGGCACAGTAGCTCACACCTGTAATTCCAGCATTTTAGGAGGCTGAGGCAGGTGGATCGCTTGAGCTCAGGAGTTCGAGGCCAGCCTTGCCAACATACTGAAACTCTGTCTCTACTAAAAATACAAAAACATGGTGGCGGGTCCCCGCTCTCAGGAGGCTGAGGCAGGAGAATTGCTTGAACCCAGGAGGCAGAGGTTGCAGTGAGCCGAGACTGTGCCACTGCACTCCAGCCTGGCAACAGGGTGAGACCCTGTCTCAAAAAAAAAAAAAAAAAAAAAAGAGGATTACCAGAGGAACAAAGCACAAGGCCTAGGTGGACTTAGGAACCCTAGGGAGCAAGGAAGGTAGAGTAAAAGGTGTCGTTAGACAGGTAGATTGGGGGCAGATAGAGGGCCTTAAATCTCTTCTTTGGAGCTTGCTCTGCAGTGGAGAGAATAAGTCATTGAAAATGTTTAAGCAGTGGTATAACAAGATCACATATCTCTGGTAAGAAGATGACTTTGTGGCACGGTAGAGGAAAGAGCAGCTGCAGAGAGGCCAGTGAGCAGGCACCTTTAATAACCCAAGTAAAAGATGATGATGACCTGAATTAGGGAAGTGACTCTTAGAAAGGAAAGGAGGGCACAGATAGAAGTAACATTTCAAAAGTTGCTCCATGAGCCAAACGTATGCTTCACCCAAGAAAAAGAGTTGGATAGTCACTCTCAGATTCAGAAGGAGGAAATATGTCCATAAGATAATTTTTAAAATTACTCTAAACTTATTTGAACCGGAAGACTAAAAGAAGGCTGAATATGCTATAATAATGAACTTGTTGGTTCTACAATTTTAGCAGAACCTTAACTTTTGTTTTTCTCATATGTCAGTTGGGGGTGCACTGACTAACCCTGCTACGAGATGGGGAAAGCACATTAAAAAATATCTCAAAAAAGAAATACAGCCATCCTTTCTTTCCCATTGTTCATCCTTTGCCCAGGTGTTACGGTACTTAGCAGATGTCAGTTAGGTTTTTCCCCAGTTATCTATTCACCACCTTTAGGCATCATCTCTACCCACCCCCACCTACTCACACACTCCATAAAAAATCCAATGAAAATTTATGAGGAGGAGATTTTTTAGAGAGCGTAAGAATTTTCCAGTATTTGCTTCTTTATCGCTCGCTAAAACCATGCCAACATAGCCTGGGGAAAGGTGGAAAGGGCTGGCATTGCCCCATATAAGGGAATTATATCCTCAAATCATTTGAGATAAGTAGGCCCCAAAGACAAATCCACAACAGTTACTCCCTCACTCTCAGGAAATAAATTCTAGAGATTTCTTCAAATGGATACATTTGAGAATCCGATTAGCTGCCACTTTCTCTTTTTCTGATTATTTTAGGAAGACTCAAACAGATGTTAATACTTACTACCCTGTCTTTTTGTCAATAAAGGCACGAACAGACAACAAAATAATCACGAACATACCAATCAGAAGAGTGCTTCCTGTAATATTAGCATTTATGATTTGTTTTGTTCATCTTATTTGGGGCATTCAAAGTGCTTTACAAATAACATAATGAGTGTTTTTTCCGTCCGTGACTCCCAAGGTGATTCCTGGCACTCTCGAAAGGAACAAGTGATTAGTCAAGTCCTCGGGGCCCAGCAGCAATAATGCGATGCATGTTGGTTAAACTATGTTTCACACTCATGTAAATTGCGTGTTGGGGGGTGGGGAATCTTCCACACTGTCCTTGAGAAGATTAGCAAGAATTATGAACTTAAAGATTCTTACATTTATAAAAATCCAAAGAGAAATATTGAACAAATCATACTCCAGTCCTAAAATCAAAATCTAAGGATCTTAACCTGTGGTCCCAAGAACAGGATTTCAGGTCACCTGTAAATCTCCTGAAATTGTATGCAAAATTTTGTGTGATTATACCTTTTTTTTTTTTTTTTTTGCAGAAATGGTGGACTGGTTTCTGAAGATTCTAAAAGCAATTCTTGACACCAAAAAGGTTAAGAACTGCCGTCATTAAAGAAAAAGAAAGGAAGGAAGAGGGAGGGAGGAAAGGAGGAAAGGAGAGAGGAAGGGAAGGAGGAAGATCAGTTGATCTCTGTATCCACACTGCTTAGTTTATTACTGGCCTGCTATGTTGAAGTACACCCTTATACACAGAGAAAAGGGAAGGTAAATAAAGGGAATTAAGAAAAAGTTAACAATAAGGCCGGGCATGGTGGCTCACGCCTGTAATCCCAGCACTTTGGGAGGCTGAAGAGGGAGGACTGCTTGAGATCAGGAGTTCAAGACCAACCTGGGCAACATGACAAAACCCCATCTCTAGAAAAAATACAAACATTAGCCAGGTGTGGTGGTGTACACCTGTGGTCTCAACTACCTGTGGGGGCTGAGGTGGGAGGATCGCTTGAGCCCAGGTGACAAAGTGAGACCTTGTCTAAAAAAAGAGAAGAAAATAAAAAAAAACACAATAGTATGATCATCTTCTTTCAAAAGCCTCCAAGTTTTCAAATGAGTTTAGATTGCATTTTCAGAGCCCATGGTATGAAAAATGTAGACATTAATTAATTTTGTGAAAAATGTTTAGAATAAATATTAATCAAAAACTTTTTTATCTAGTATAAATTTCTGATCATTATGTTGAATCCTTCAGAAGTAGCCTTCAATGAAATAGCTATCCCGTTTACAGCAATATGATTTTGTATTAAAAGGGGCTATTAAAAATATAAAAGGGTGATATAAAGAGAGATTTCTACATATTCAGAATACTATTTCAGCATATAAAAACTCACATAATTCCAATACTAATTATAATAGAATACTATTCTCACTTAAGTAAAGACAGTGTTTAAGTGAAACTCAGTTCTTCTCATTACACGCCAAAGCCCCATGAAGTGCTTAGAATTATGTTTCTCCAATAAAGCCCCCATGTAATTAATCAGTACACATTTCCAATCAGGATGTGTTTTTTGTTCTGTACATGGAGGAGTGAATGCTGAAGATTCCTCTATTCCTTTTCTGTGTTAGAAAGGAATAAACCAATCTCCTTCTATCCCTAATCTTTTTCATTCTTTAATTATTCTTAATCCCAAAGAGGCATGTCCATGTCAGATTTATGCTGCCTAGCATCCTTTCTTTAAGACTGCTCTCAAAATTTAACTCAGCTTCAACTATATTTATTAATATGCAGAACAACTTCAGTCTCCAGTTTATTGATAACCTGCAAAGCGCAGTTAAGACAGAATATAAAAATTAAGCAAGGAAATAAATGAAGGTTTTACAAATTGTTATAACTTTTAAATAAAAGTTATTTCTTTGAATGGCTACCTTAAATAAATGTTAGCATATATCGAATTTAAATTAGTACACCATATGGTAAGGATTGATGGGTTTTCATCTCTTATAAAATTGTTTCCCCTTTCAGTGCCCCTTAAAGCATATAAAAGCGCATACTTACCCCATGTTGCTTGCGGTGGTTATATCATCCTCAGATCAAGGCTTATCTGGGTTCTGAATTAACTTAAAGGTTATAAAAAGAAGGAGTAGAGAGGTTTGACTTCCCCTGAAACGAGACCGTAGTATGCTAACCAGGCTTTTAAATGATGAAAACTAGTGTCTCTTCTAATTATATAAGCTCCAGGTCAAATTCTAGCATCAACTAATCAAATAACTGAACTGCATTTAGTTTCAATGAGTAAAAGGAAGAAACCCATTTAGGAGGAATATCTTTGTTGTATTAGAAAATTGAAAAGTTGTACATTGAAAAGTTATTAATATAGCAATACAAGTTAAATATTTTAAGAGTAAAATGTATATCTTGCTGCCTTAAGTAAATTGAAAAAAATTAGGGAAAATTTAGTTTGCAGCAAAACAGATACTTTTCTATATTTTCCAGAAGTTTTTGAATTTAAATTATATGTCCTGGTCCCTGAAAACATCTTCTCACCTTATCTTAACTTGTCCAGTATTTAACTCTTCATAAATTTCCATACAATAATAATATTTAATTCTAAAGCCATGCCAGCTAATGTTAAGCAACATATGCAAAAATGTCCAATTCTTAAAATCTATCTTTGAAAACTTACAAATAGGGTGTTTTGAAATTAACCATAAAGGTATTATTATGAGAAACTAACTAACATGCCATTTTTATTTTAACATTTTAGAAGACATTGTAACCCAAATTTGTGCCAGTACAGCAAAAAATAAAAATATACATTTTTTGGCAATGATATATTGAGAAACACAAATATTCAGAAGATTTTGAATAGAGAAATATGACAAAGAAGTTATCTATTGCATACATTATTTTTGTCAGTTTTAGAATATAGAGTTTCAGCAAAAAACATTCAGGTCTTTATTGTAATTTTTAAAATGTAGTTGACATATACTGCTCTGGAAATGTTTAAATTATTTTATGTAAAAAGTAAAGAGATTTTCTGGACATAGAATATATGACAACACACAGATCTACTTTTTCAGAAATTGAGACATAATTTACATATCATACATAAAATTTGTCCCTGTAAAGTGAACAATTCAGTGGTTTTTAGTATATTTTCAAGACTGTGCAACCATCACCACTGTCTAATTCTAGAAACCTCATGCCTCCCAATTCATTCCTCCCCTGGCAACCACTAATCTATTTTCTGTCCCTAAGGATTTGCCTATTCAGAGCATTTCACATAAATGGAATCATACAATATGTGGCCTTTTGTGACTGGCTCCTTTTACTTAGTACAATGTTTGTTTGTTTGTTTGTTTGTTTGTTGTTTTTGAGATGAGGTTTGGCTCTGTCACCCAGCCTAGAGTGCAGTGGCACGATCTTGGTTCACTGCAACCTCTGCCTCCTGGGCTTAAGCAGTCCTCCCAAGGAGCTGGGACTATAGGCATGTGCCACCACAGCTGGCTAATTTTTGTATTTTTTGTAGAGATGGGATTTTGCCATGTTGCCCAGGCTGGTCTCAAACTCCTGGACTCAAGCGATCCACACACCTTGGCATCCCAAAGTGCTGGGATTACAGGATGAGCCACTCTGTCTGGCCAGTACAATGTTTTTGAAGTTCATCCATGTTGTAGTATCAGTACTTCATTTTTTATGGTTGAATAATATTCCATTATGTGGACATTTTGTTTATACATTCATTAGTTGATGGACATTTGGATAGTTTCCAGTTGGGGCTATTATAAATGTCTTAGTCCATTTGAACTGCTGTGAGAAAATACCTTAGACAAGGTAATTTGTAAACAACAGAAATGTATTGCTCACAGTTCTGGAGGCTGTTAAGTCCAAGATCAAGGCACTAGCAGATTTAGTGTCTGGTAAGGACTTGCTCTCTTCTTCAAAGATGGCACCTTCTTGCAGCATTCTCTTGTGACAGAAGCAGCAAGCAATCTCCTTCACATCTCTTTTATAAGGGCATTAATCCCATCTATGAGGGCTCTGTCCTTATAACCAACCTAATTACCTCCTAAAGGCCTCAACTCTCAATATTACCACAGTAGAGATTAGGTTTTTGTTGTTGTTGTTGTTGTTTTTAGACAGAGTCTCGCTCTGTTGCCCCCGCTTGGCTCACTGCAGATTCTACCTCCCAGTTTCAAGCGATTATTGTGCCTCAGCCTCCCGAGTAGCTGGGATTGCAGGCGCACACCACCATGCCTGGCTAATTTTTGTATTTTTAGTGGAGAAGAGGTTTCACCAGGTTGACCAGGCTGGTCTCAAACTCCTGACCTCAAATGATGCACCCACCTTAGCCTCCCAAAGTACTGAGATTACAGGCGTGAGGAAATTAGGTTTAAACATGAATTTTGGAGGGACACATTCAGACTATAGCAATGAATAATGTTGCTATGAACATTCGTGTACAAGTTGATTCCTTGTGTACATACCTAGGAACTGCTGAGTCATGTAGTAACTCTATGTCTAATTTTTTTTTTTTTTTTTGAGACGGAGTCTCGCTCTGTCGCCCAGGCTGGAGTGCAGTGGCCGGATCTCAGCTCACTGCAAGCTCCGCCTCCCGGGTTCACGCCATTCTCCTGCCTCAGCCTCCCGAGTAACTGGGACTACAGGCGCCCGCCACCTCGCCCAGCTAGTTTTTTGTATTTTTTAGTGGAGACGGGGTTTCACCATGTTAGCCCATGTTGGGATGGTCTCGATCTCCTGACCTTGTAATATTTTGAGGAACTGTATTCCACAGCAGCTGCACCATTTTATATTCCCACCGCAAATGCATGAGGGCTCCAATTTCCCCACATCATTGCCAATCTTTGTATTGTCTGTTTTTTTTTTTTAAATTTTTATTATTTTTTTAATATAGCCATCCCACCAAACAATGCATGTTCTCACTTAAAAGTGGGAGCTGAACAATGAGAACACATGGACACAGGGAGGAGAACAACACACATTGGGGCCTGTTGCCGGAGCAGGGGAAGGGAGAGTATCAGGAAAAATAGCTAATGCTTGCTGGGCTTAATACCTAGGTGATGGGTTGATAAGTGCAGCAAATCACCATGGCACACATTTAGCTATGTAATAAACCTATACATCCTGTACATGTACCCCAGAACTTAAAATAAAATAAAATAATAAAATAAAAATAGCTATCCCAGTTGATGTGAAGTGGTATCTCATGGTGGGTTTGTGGGTTTAAAGTGCATTTCCCTTAAGAGTAAGTATAGTAAGCATTTTTTTGTTTACTTATTGGCCATTTGTATATCTTCTTCAGAGAAACATCTATTCAAATTCTTTGCCCTTTTTTTTTTTTTTTGAGATGGGCGTCTCACTCTGTCACCCAGGCTGGAGTGCAATGGTGTGATCTCAGCTCACTGCAACCTCTGCTTCCCATGTTTAAGTGATTCTCCTGCCTCAGCCTCCCGAGCAGCTGGGATTACAGGTGCCCGCCTTCACGCCCAGCTATTTTTTGTATTTTTAGTAGAGATGGGGTTTCACCATGTTGGCCAGGCTGGTCTTGAATTCCTGATCTCAGGTGATCCACCTGCCTCAGCCTCTCTAAGTGCTGGGATTACAGGTGTGAGCCACTGCCCCCTGCTTCTTTGCCCATTTTAAAAATTGATTTTTAAAAAATTTTTTTTTATTGTTGGGTTGTAAAAGTTCTTTATAAATTTTGGAAATTAGACTTTTTATCAGTGTCATAATTTTTATTGCTATGGTTTCTGGAAATCTGGAGGTAGCAGTGAGCTCAACCAGTGGGGTGGGGGTGAGAGAGAGGACCACAGGACTACGCCTTTATTAAGGTCCATGGATGTTATCCCCTAGGCTTTCCCTCTGGGGTTGTGGATTGGCTAGTTTAAAGAAAACATGTGGAAAGAGGGAACTTATTTTTGCATGACTTATGTTGACCTTTAGGTTTTATCATGGTCAGCACCTGTGAGATGTGTTGGGTTTGGGTCAGCAGGGTAAGGAACAAGTGGGCTGTATTGCAAACAACTACAAGGGGAAGGAAAGTTTTAACTAGGCCAACAGTAATGGGATATGACTGGACGTCAGACAACTTATGTCAGGCCTAAAAATGGATGCTGAGGCAGCGGCTATGTTAAGCAAATTTCTGACAATCAGATATGATTTGCAAGTATTTTATCCCATTGTGAGGATGGTATTTTCATTTTCTTGATAGTCTCCTTTAATGTATACTTTTTTAAAGATAGAAGTAACAAGAGTTAGCATCCTTGCCTTGTTCCTAATCTTAGAGTAAAAGCTTTTCAATTTTTCACTGTTGAGTATGATATTAGCTGCGGGCTTTTTATATATGACCTCTGTTATGCTTAGGTAATTTCCTTCTATTCCTAATTTGTTAAGAGGTTTTTTTTAAATAATGAACAGGTGCTCAATTTTGTCAAATGCTTTTTCTGCATCTGTTGAGCTGATTATGGGATTTTAATCCTTTATTCTGTTAATGTGGAATATCACATTAGTTGATTTTCGTATGTTGAACTATCCTTGCATCCCAGGGATAAATCTCACTTGGTCATGGTATATGACCCTTTCCAAATGTTGTTGGAAACAGGGGAAACTCTTCATGACATGGGTCTTCGCAATGATTTCATGGATAATGACACCAAAAGCACAGGCAACAAAACAAAAAGTAAACAAGTGGGACTACATCAAACCAAAATCTTCTGCACAGCAAAGGAAACAATCAACAGAGTGAAAAGGTAACAACCTACAGAATGGGTGAAAATATCTGCAAATCTGGGCCGGGCGCGGTGGCTCACGCCTGTAATCCCAGCACTTTGGGAGGCCGAGGCGGGCGGATCACAAGGTCAGGAGATCGAGACCACGGTGAAACCCCGTCTCTACTAAAAATACAAAAAATTAGCCGGGCGCGGTTGTGGGCGCCTGTAGTCCCAGCTACTCGGGAGGCTGAGGCAGGAGAATGGCGTGAACCCGGGAGGTGGAGCTTGCAGTGAGCCGAGATCGCGCCACTGCACTCCAGCCTGGGCGACAGAGCGAGACTCCGTCTCAAAAAAAAAAAAAAAAAAAAAAAATCTGCAAATCATATATCAGATCAGGATTTAATCTGTAAAATATATAAGGAATTCTTACAACTCAATGGTAAGAAAAAATTAATAACCTGATTTAAAAATGGGTTAGGAACTGAATAGACATTTTTCCAAAGAAGGCATATAAATGGTCAATAGGTATTTGGAAAAATGCTCAATGTCACTAATCATCAGAGAAATAGAAATCAAAACCACAATGAGATATCACCTTATACCAGACAGCATGGCTATCACCAAAAACAAAAAACAAATGCTAAGGAAGTGGATAAATTGAACCCTTGCTGTTTTGTCTCTCTAAACTCTCAAATCCTTGGCTGGAATTACCCCAAAAGCAGTGGCAGGGGGATTTCCCACAAGGGAGTCTCCAACTGTCCTGAGATAGGGCTGGCTGGAATACCAAAGAAAAAAACTCTAAGCTCTAGGGTGATCAGTCCAAAGAATGTATTAGGGAAACTTCCGTACAGAGTGCTGCAGCAATCGCTGAGACAGAAAAGGAATGTTATACCCAGGTATGTCTGCAGCAAGGGGATCAGAGTCTGAAGTTTCTATGACAGTTTGAGAAATTTGGCTCAAGGCTGGGGGCCAGTTTCAGTGTTTTGAGCAACAACCCAAATACCTTTCTCAGTGCCTGGGAATGTTCAAGGCCCAGTTTGCGTTCAAGCCTGCTGAGAAAAACCTGTAGCCAGCCGGGTCACAGAGTAGTCAAAGTACTCTGTGATTTTTAGTGAGGGCAAAGAAAGAAAGTAGGAAGAACTGGATTACCATACACTTGCCCACTGTTGCTGGGAATGTAAAATGGTGCAGCTGCTATGGTAAATGCTATGGAGGTTCCTCAAGAGATTAAAAATATAACTATTGTGCTTGCTTTGGCAGAACATATACTAAAATTGGAATGATACAGAGAAGATTAACATGGCCCCTGTGCAAAGATGACACGCAAATTTGTGAAGTGGTCCACGGTAAAATAATAATAAATAAATAACAACAAAAAAAAACTATTGTATGAGTCAGCAATCCTACTTCTGGGTGTTTATCCAAAAGAATTGAAGCCAGGTACAGTGGCTCATGTCTGTAATCCCAGCACTTTGGGAGGCCAGGCAGGCCAGGGGTTCAAGATCAGCCTGGCCAACATGGTGAAACTCCATCTCTACTGAAAATACCAAAAAATTAGCCAGGGGTGGTGGAGCACATCTGTAATCCCAGCTACTTGGGCGGCCAAGGCACAGGAATCACTTGAACCCAGGAAGCAGAGGTTGCAGTCAGCTGAGATCACGCAATAGCACTCCAGCCTGGGCAACAGTGAGACTCCTCTGTCTCAAAAAAAAAAAAAGAAAAAAGAATTGCTATCAAGATCTCAAATAAATATTAGTACCCTAAATTCACTGCAGCACTATTCACAATAGCCAAGATATGGAAACAAAATGTCCACCACAATGAATAAAGAAAATGTGGTATATACATACAATAGAATACTATTCAGCCTTAAAAGAGAAACCCCTGATTTGTGACAACATGGATGAACCCTGAGGACATTATTCTAAGTGAAATAAGCCAGTCACAGAAAGACCAGTACTGTATGACTCCACTTTTAAGTATGCGGTATTTAAAATAGTCAAATTTGGCCATGTTGGGTGGCTCACGCCTGTAATCCCAGCACTTTGGGAGGCCGAGGCGGGTGGATCAGGAGTTCGAGACCAGCCTGGCCAACAAGGTGAAACCCCATCTCTACAAAAAATACAAAAATTAGCTGGGCATGGTGGCACATGCCTATAATCCCAACTACTCGGGAGGCTGAGGCAGGAGAATAGCTTGAACCTGGGAGGCGGAGGTTGCAATGAGCCAAGATCGTGCTGTTGCACTTCAGCCTGGGCAACAAGAGTGAAACTCCATCTCAAAAAAATAAAAAATAAGAAAAATAAAATAGTCAAATTCATAGTATCAAAGAGTAGAATAACGGTTACCAGGGGCTGGGGTAATAGGAAAACAAGAGGTAACGAATAAAAGGCCATGAAGTTTCAGTCAAGCAAGAGGAATAAGCTCTAGAGATCTGCTGTACAACATTGTACCTGTAGTCAACAATAATGTATTGTACACTTAAAATTGTGTTCATTATAGCAAACTAACACAAGAACAGAAAATTCCAAAAACTGGGGCTACCTGAGGGTGGAGGTTTGGAGGAGGGAGAGGATCAGAAAAAATAACTATTGGATACTATGCTTAGTATCTGGGGGACAAAATAATCTGTACAACAAACCCTGTGACATGAGTTTACCTGTATAACAAACCTGCACATGTATGCCTGAACCTAAAATAAAAGTTAGAAAATAATAAATAAATAAATAAAATGTATTATAGCCTTAAAAAAATTTTTTTTCAAGGAGGGTGAATGTCGACCAGGACACACAAGCACAAACTAAAAAAAAAAAAAAAAAGACGACAAAACTCAAACAGAGGATTGGAAATCAACTTTGCCGGCCGGGCGCGGTGGCTCAAGCCTGTAATCCCAGCACTTTGGGAGGCCGAGGCGGGCGGATCACGAGGTCAGGAGATCGAGACCATCCTGGCTGACACAGTGAAACCCCGTCTCTACTAAAAAATACAAAAAACTAGCCGGGCGAGGTGGCGGGCGCCTGTAGTCCCAGCTACTGGGGAGGCTGAGGCAGGAGAATTGCGTGAACCCGGGAGGCGGAGCCTGCATTGAGCTGAGATCCGGCCACTGCACTCCAGCCTGGGCGGCAGAGCGAGACTCCGTCTCAAAAAAAAAAAAAAAAAAAAAAAAACTTTGCCAAGATTTGGATGATTCTGCCGTAGTTATTATAATAAGCAGACTGAATTGAATCATGTAATTTATTTTAAACTAATTGTAAGACAATGAAAATAAAGTTCAAAAAGACGTAAGGAAGTGATGGTTTTATTGGGCAAACTTATAGGGGTAGTGTATGAAGTCATTTCAAATAACAGATTAAGTTGCTTTCCTTACAACTAAAAGCTTCAATTACTACATTTAAACTTTAATTTAACATTAAATCTACAATGTGAAGCACATCTACATGTGAAGTTTTAATTTCAGGTCTGGAGCAGCTGTAAAATGAAAGTTACCACTCCATTCTAGTCCTCGGACATCAGTATATTCCCCTTCACCTTCTACCCTGCAATAGTAGAAAATAAGTTTTTCATTAACAAAGACAAATAATTTACAGTCCAGATATAAGATTGTCTAGCATAATATATACTATGTCTGAAGCATTATATCTTTCACTTTCAAGCTTTGCTTTTAAACCCAGCATCCTGCCTTCACATACTACAAAAAAAAAAAAGAAAAAAGAAAAAGAAAAAACAAGTACTATTCCAAACACACACAATCAATTATTTGGCGTCCAAGATTTTAGGATCACATAATCTAAGTTCATACAAAACCAAAACAATGAGTTAAAAAAATGAAGAGTTTACATTGGCTCTCTAGCTTAATTACTTCATTTATTCAACAAATATTTCTTGACCATCAATGATGTTTGAGGTGCTATGCCACTGTACCGGGCCTCCAACAATTTTTAGAAACTATATTATAAAAGAATATTTAGAATTAACTAAATATAGTATTTAAGCAGCTGGGCACAGTGATTCACACCTGTATACTCAGCACTTTGGCAGGCCGAGGCACACAGATCACTTGAGGTCAGGAGTTCTAGACCAGCCTGGCCAACATGGTGAAACCCCGTTCCTACTGAAAATACAAAAATTAACTGGGGGCTGGGCGCGGTGGCTCAAGCCTGTAATCCCAGCACTTTGGGAGGCTGAGATGGGCGGATCACGAGGTCAGGAGATTGAGACCATCCTGGCTAACACAGTGAAACCCCGTCTCTACTAAAAAATACAAAAAACTAGCCGGGCGAGGTGGCGGGCGCCTGTAGTCCCAGCTACTGGGGAGGCTGAGGCAGGAGAATGGCGTGAACCCGGGAGGCGGAGCCTGCATTGAGCTGAGATCCGGCCACTGCACTCCAGCCTGGGCGGCAGAGCAAGACTCTGTCTCAAAAAAAAAAAAAAAAAAAAAAAAATTAACTGGGTATGGTGGTGTGCACCTGTGGACCCAGCTACTTGGGTGGCTGAGGCAGGAGAATCGCTTGAACCCAGGAGGCAGAGGTTGCAGTGAGCTGAGATCACTCCACTGCACTCCAGCCTGGATGACAGAGTAAGACTCTGTCTCAATAAATAAATATTTAAGCAAATGTACCAGAAAATAATCTTTCAGAACTGCAGTGATTTTTTCTTTATTTTAAGCTTACCTATTTTCATTGAAATTTCCAATATACTTTGCCCCAGTTGGGAATGTGTAAGTCCCCAGTCCATGAAACATATTATCCTTAAATTGTCCTTCATATACTGCTCCTGAAAAATGCTCAAGTCTTCCAAAACCATTCATCTGTTTATAACAAAGGAAATTACCTTAGAAACTAATCTTCAGTTTCCTAAGAACCTTTCAAAAATGTACAAATATAAGTCTATCATCTGCTAATTATTACTTAATCAACGTTGTATTGTCCTTTATTTCCATAGTATAAAGATAACATTTTTATCATTTTCATTCATCTGTGTCTATCTGTGAAGCCCACTAAATCAAATGTTCTGGATCTGGGGCATTTGAACATCAAGGGGTCCATGATGAAGATAATAGGGATCCTCAAGATACCCTGAATGTATCAGAAATCTTAAAGGGCAACCAGTTTAGTTAGTTCAAGAAACCAGTACAAGTAGTTGTTAATAATTCAAATTTGGATTCAAGCAGACCAAGGTATACTTTCCTGTTTTATCATTTACTAGGTGGGCAAGAAACCTGAGCCTGATTTTCCTCATTTGTAAAATAGAGTATTAATGGTACCCAGCTCATGAGGGTGTTACGAGGATTAAATGAGAAAATTATGTAACAGATTCAGCTTTACTCAATGAATAGGAGATGAGAAAGATAATAACGATGATTAGCTCTCTGCAGTGAGTTTAATATTACTCATAAGTTAATATGTGTTAATATGATCATTCGTTATTTTTATTATATAGTCTACTCATTATAGGAGTTTTTGATTAATGGTGAAATGCCTGGAATCATTAAACCCACAGGGTTATTTATCCACTGCCAGTATTAAAAACAACAACAATACCTTGTCATCTTTCCAGCTTCCTGTGTAGACAATCCCATTAGGAGTGGTATGAATACCTATTCCATTTCTTTCATAGATTCCAGAAGATGTTCTTGTACAGTCGCCATCTAAACAAAGGAGAAATACTGAAGATTATAAATGAGAAAAGTTATATCTGGGCCTAATCGCAACTACACCTCATGGGTTTCTTTGGCTCCCTAGCACTGAAACCAGTGAGACCCAAGATGAGTAAATCCGTGGACGTACAACATCTTGTAACAATTGAGACTCAAAGGCCAGGAAGATTGACAGATCCCATAGGTTTCCAAGGCATATCGTCTAGAGTTAACAGTGGAGTTTTGATTTTAACATCTCTTTATCTATTAGGATTTCTGTTATCTTAGTTAATAAAGTTAATATCCTAATAGTTTTACAAAATTTAAGTCTCTTTTTTTATTCTTAAGCTATTTAATTTTCTGTACAGAAAAAGTAATTGCAGTGTATGCTTACCATACTTGTCTCCATTTGGAAAGATAAAGCTGATCTTATACACTTCTGAAGCTGTTTTAAAAGATTTAAGAAGAATGACATAAGTTTACTTTTTTTTGATAGAGGCAAGGTTTCACTATGTTGCCAAGGCCAGTCTCAAACTCCTGGGCTCAAGGCATCCTCCCGCCTCAGCCTCCCAAAGTGCTGGGGTTGCAGATGTGAGCTACCACATCCAGCCAAACGTAAATATTCTTATGTCATAAGACCTATAACCAATGTGCTTTCAACACTATCCAAATGGACTTACTTCTCAAGATCACAGCATATCATGATTACTTGGCATTTCCATTGTCTAATGTAGGGTCCTGGGGAAATAAACAATTTTGCCTACATGATCTCCTTTAAAATTTATTTATTATGATAGCTTTATTAATATATAATTCACACACCACAAAATCTACCTTTAAAAGATACAATTTCACGTTTTTTAGTAGATTCAGAGTTGTGCAACTATCATCACAATCTAATTTTAGAATATTTTCATTATCCCAGAAAGAAACTCTGTACCCATGAGCAGTTACCCATTACAATTCCCCTCAAACACCCCTCACCCCATAACCCCAAACCCCTGGCAACCAGTAATCTACTTTCTGCCTCAAGGATTTGCCTATTCTAGATATTTCCTATAAATGAAATCATACAATATGCGGTCCTTTATGTCTGGCTCTTTTCACTTAATGTTTCCAAGGTTCATCCATGTTGTATCGTGTATCAGTACTTCATTCCTTTTTATAGCCAAGTATATTGTATAAATATGTTGTACAGAAATAGCATATTTTGTTTATTCATTCATCAGTTCATGGACATTTAGGTTGTTTCCAGTTTGGGGCCATTATGAATAATACTGCTATAAACACTGATGTAAATTTTTAAAACATACAGCTTCCTAAGAGTAAAAAAAAAAAAATTGGTGTACAAATTTTTGTGTGGATATGTTTTTATTTCTCTTTGGTAGCCCATATGGTTTACTGATTGTCCCACAGAGGTAAGGCGGAGTGAGGAATCTTTAAATTGGCAGTAGGAAGAAATGGAAAATAAAGATAGCAAGTGGGGAAGGGCTGGTAGGTCCACACAGAATGAGAATGGTATGGAGACCAAGTGAAAAAGGAAGAAAGAGGACCACAAGACTGAGGGGGATTCTGGGCCTCAGATCCCTGGACACTTAGTGGACTAAAACATTAGAAACTGTATTTTCCGATACTGAAGAAAACTTATGTAGAGAGGGTATGCAGGCATATCCTCTGTGACTCATCCTTCAGAATCACCTGAGATGCTTCTAAGTTTCTTCTCTCTACCCCACATCTACTGAATCAGAGTTTTTATGGGTGGGGCAAGGGAATTTAAAAATTAATTTAGGTGCCAGTTGAGAAAGGCTAGAGGTTCATCCCCTCTGAGGAAACAGAATTAACACAATAGGTAGAGGACTTAAACTGTAATATCCTCAGAGAGAAAGGGAGAGTATTAGTATCTTTGAGATAGGAACAGGTGATTATAAAAAACAAAGAACAATTAGCAATCCAGGAAATGAATAATATAATTGGTGAAATAAAACTTCTTAGAAGGGATGAATAGCAGAATAGATACAGTTGAAAACAAATTAGTGAACTGGAACATTAGGTTGAAAAATGTGCTTAGAAAGTAGCACAAAGTGCGAGTGAGATGGCTGGAAAAATATTTTTTTTAATTAAAAAAAGCAAGTAGCACAAGGAATTTTAAAATAATGGAAAGTGGATCCAAAATGCTACTGTCAGTCTAATAAGAATTCCAGAGGGAAAGAATAGGAGATATTTGAATAAATACCCAAAAATTTCTCAGAACTGAAGAAAATGACTGTTTGGACTACAAACGGGAACTAAGCAAAATCCCACACCTAGACAGGTTACAGTAAAATTTCATGACATAAAGACCAAAGGCCAGTTAGGCTAGTTAAAAACAAGCAAACAAAAACCACATTACCTACAATAAACTACAAAGGACTGACAGTAGCAACAGTGGATTCTTAAAAAAAAAAAAAAAAAAAAAGGCACTTAACCCAGTGTCTAAACTCTAAATACTAGCTATTGTTTTCTTGTAGCCCCAGGTCAGGTATGGGCTCTCCCACAAAGCCTTTCTTCAACCTCAGACTCCTTCAGGAGCCCTCACAGCACTCTGGGCCTATTCCTACCGTCGTACTTAGGGTTCTAGTAAAACCATGGCTTTGTACCGGGATCCCCTATCCCACCCAGTTCCTCCAGCCCACGAATGGCGGATTAGTCAAATCTCTTCTCACCCTACTGTCCTACTCCGTGTTTAGTACTAATAGTAACAGAACGTCTAGTGAATGAAGGGCACTTCGGAAGCAATCGTTAAATGCCTATGAAGCAGAGCATTTAAACGTAATCATATCAGAAACTGGACTGTTTTCAATTGCCGCTAAAATGTTCTACATTCGAAACTTGGGAATGTCAGAGCTAGAGGGAACCTCACAGAGACCGCCCGGCACCATAGCGGAAACTGAGGCCCAGGGAGGTTGGCACGCGCCTCGGGTGTCTCAACAGCGACAGATCAGAGCTAGATTCCCAGACCAAGGGTTCCCCCGTGCTCCTCGGCTAGACGGTTAGGAAATATGTCATACCCCTACAGGAGTTACCGGAGGCCAAGCAAGTTCTGACTCCACGCTAGTTCGACTTAAAGGAGCCCTTCTCTGCCCGTGTCGTTGGGAGGATGGGCACTCACTTGGCCGAGAGGTGTTAGAGAGATCTTCCAAACTCTGCGACTCCCCCTGGGCGGCCAGCTCTGCAGCCGGGAGAGAACTAGGCGCTAGGACAGCTCCAGGTGCGACTTGGTTGCTGGGGCGACCGGGCACCTCTCACCCGGAAGCGAATAAGCGAGGGGCTGAAGCTGAGCCAATCAGAAGGCGCCAGGGCTGTGCCGCTGCAGCTGGGCCACCGCAGGGCTGCTCCAAGTGAGAACCGGGAGGGTGGCCAAGCCCTGTGGGGACCTCTGACCCTTGGGCAGCACCTCCCGACAGCTGGCTCGGGACCCAACTCTGCGAGCCAGGTACGTCTTCCACTTCTGCTGACAAGTGATGCGCGTTGTGCGCACGGTCTGCGCGTCGCCCTGTTTGTCAGTGTGTCTGCCGCCTCCTGCTCCAGGAGTGGTCGGGATCTGAGGAGCATCGCGGCCCAGTGTTTCATCCTGTCTGCCTGGGGCCGGTGAATCTGGACCAGCAGGATCCCAGGCCCCGGGACCGGACCAAGGCGGAGCTCTGCCGCTGAGGTTGTGCACGCTCAAACTGCAGTGCGGGGGCGGTGGGGCTAGGAGACGAGGCGTGAAATTCAGGCTTGGAGCAGGCTAAGGGGTTGATTGAAGGGGTCAGGCTCCGTTCCCTGTCTCTGTCTGTGTGGCTTTTTGGGGGAGAAGGGTGGGGACGATGTGAGTTCGAAAAAGGATACGAGATCTGGATATCTGGATGGAGCTGGTTATATTGTGATCAGTCAGAGATCTGCCTGGGAGGAGGGTAGTGTGTAGTCACTTTTCAGTGCCTTGGCTGTCAAACAAAGAATACTCTTACAGCCAAACTTAGGTCCCTGTATCCATGGTGAAGAAAGATAGTTGGAATCTTCCCGGGCTAGATGGAATAGATAGTGGAATCTAACCACGTGGATTATACAACCTAATTCCTATTGCCTGGAAAACTCTGGGAGAGTGGTATTGGATACCATTACAGTCAGCAAATCTTCGTTTAAAATTTTGAGCGCATATCTCAGATCTACTTGTAAAAGTAACATTTTCTGGATTGATGTGAGACAACTTGTTTTGAATCAGAGTAAGCATCCTCTTGCTTTTTCCTAATGTTTCTCAGTACACAAATTTACCTGGGCTGCATGGTTTTTGAGAGGAAGTTCTAATCTGTCTGTTTGATTTATTTCCTTTCCGTAAATTTTAGAAATCATAGGTAATTACTGATGCACAACCTTACAGAATTCAGTTTGACCTGTTATTTTTCTTGCCTGTTAAAATTTTAATGACTCTACATTTTTGTGAGTAAAGTTGACATTTGAACAACATGGTTTTGAACTACACGGGCCCACTTATGGGTGGATTTTTTCCAAACCAACACAGATTGAAAATACAGTATTTCAACTAGGCATAGTGGCTCATGCCGGTAATCCCAGCACCTTGGGAGGCCAAGGTGAGAGGATTGCTTGAGCTCAGGAGTACGAGACCAGCTTGGGCAACAAAGCGAAACCTCATCTCTACTAAAAAAATTTTAAAGTAGCTAGGTGTGGTGGTGCGTCTGTGGTCCCAGCTATTCAGGAGGCTGAGACAGGAGGATTGCTTGAGCCCAGGATATCGAGGCTGCAATAAGCTGTGGTCATACCACTGCATTGCAGCCTGGGTGATACAGCGAGATCCAGTCTCAAAAAAAAAAAAAAAAGAAAGAAAGAAAAAAGAAAAGACAGTATTCCTGGAATGCAAAACACACATACAGAGGGCCGGCTTTTCCTGTATGCAAATTCTACAGGGCTGACTGGAGGACTTGAGTATCCGTGGATTTTCGTATACATGGGGTTCTGGAACCAATCCCCTGTGTATACTGAGGGATGACTATTTCATGGCTCGTTCTCTCAGTTTCTTCCGGATGTCCTTTAAAATGTGATCTCAAAGAGGCCTTACCCAACCACTCTATCTAAAATAACTGCCTCAAGGTTTTTTTTTTTTTCTCGATAACACTTAAGTAATAATATATATCTATTTGTTTAATGTCTGTCTTACCCTCTAGAAGGTAAGCTTCATGAAGCAGAAATTTTGTCTTCTTTGCTGTTATATCCCCAGGATCTGGCACATAATAAGTGCTCAATAAATATTTGTGGAAAGAATAAATAGATGAATAAATCTCCATTCCCACATAAGTCATTTTTCCAACCTTCAGTCATTCATTCCACAAATAGATATTGAATTCCTACCATATGCTAGACACTGTGTTAAGGGTACAGTGGTAAAAAAAAATAGACATAGTTTTGTTTTCAAAGAGCTTTCTGGGAGTAGAAAGGAGAGACAAACTTAAGATAAACACTGAATACATATGTATAATCATCAAGAATTTTGAAGAAAGGAATACCTAGGAAGACCTAGTTTAATATCCACATATTTGTGAGTTTCCCAAATTTTTTCTAGCTTTTGATTTCTAATTCCATTTTGGTTGGAGAACATAGTTCATATTATTTCTTTCTTTTTAAATTTATTGAGGTTTATGGCTAAGCAAGGTGGCTCACACCTGTAATGCCTGCACTTTGGAATGCCAAGGTGGGCAGATCACCTGAGGTCAGGAATTCGAGACCAGCCTGACCAACATGATGAAACACCATCTCTATTAAAAATACAAAAATTAGCCAGGGAGCATGGTGGCGGGTGCCTGTAGTCCCAGCTACTCGGGAGGCTGAGGCAGGAGAATCGCTTGAACCTGAGAGGCAGAGGTTGCAGTGAGCCAAGATTGCACCATTAGCACTCCAGCCTGGGCAACAGAGCAAGACTCCATCTTAAAAAAAAAAAAAAAAAAAGTATTGAGGTTTCTTTTATCACCTAGCATGGTCTATCTTGGAAGATGTTTCATGTGTACTTGAGAAGTGTGAATATTTGTCTATAGACACTTATTAGGTCTAGTTGGTTTAGAGTGTTGTTCAAGTCTTTTATTTCCTTGTTGATCCTCTGTCTAGTTGTTCTACCATTATTAAAAGTGAGGTATTGAAGTCTCCTACTATTATTATTGAATTGTCTAATTCTCCCTTCATTTCTGTCAGTTGTTGCTTTGTGTATTTTGGTGCCTTCTTATTAGGTACATATGTGTTTTTAATTGTTATCTTTTCCTGACAGATTAACCCTTTTGTCATTAAGAAATATCCCTATCTCTAGTAACATTTTTTGCTTTCAAGTCTATTTTGTCAGATATTAACATAGCCACTCCACCTTTCTTGTGGTTGCTGTTTGCAAGATCATCTTTTTCCATCCTTTTACTTTTCATTTATTGTGTCTCTGAATTTAAAATGCCTATCCTGCAGACAGCATATATTTGGATCCTGTTTTTTAATCCAGTCTGACAGTCTCTGTCTTTTGATTGGACTGCTTTATTCTCTCACATTTATTTTTATTATCTGTATACTGGGAATTACATCTAATTCTAGTCTACTTTTGGACGTCTGTATGTCTCAATGTCTATTTTTTCCTCTGTTCTTACTTTTTGCTTTCATTTGCATTTAGTCATTAAGTGAATATTTTCTAATGTAGTATTTTTGTGATTGCTTTGGGATTTATGAACAGCTTCAGATTTATACTAGCTTAATTCCAGCAATATTGCTATGGTTTGAATGTTTACCCCCAAAGTTCATGTGTTAGACGTTTAATTTCCAATGCAACAGTATTAGGAGATGGGGCCTAATAACACGTAATTCAATCATGAGGGCAGAGCCCTTATTAACGGATTAATGTCACTAGCATGGGAGTGGGTTAGTTATAGCAAGAATAAGTAATTATAAAATAAGTCTGGCTGCTGGTGCCTTTCTCTGTATCATGCCCACTTCTGCCTTCCATCTTCCACCATGAGATGATACTCAGCAGATGCCACTGTCATGCTCTTGGACTTCCCAGCCTCCATTACCATGAGCCAAATAAACTTCTATTGTTTATAAATTACCTAGTCTGTGGCATTCTGTTATAGCAGAAAACAGACTAAGACAGATATATAGAAGTATTACTTTTATATATCTCTATTCCCTTCCTACCTTTTATAGTATTATTATACATATTATATCTATTAATGTTATATACCCAACTATACTTATTACAAGTATTACTTTACTGTCTGTAGTCATTTTCTCAGCACAGTACAATTATGCTCCCACCAATCTTTGTGCTGTTATTGGCAAATATATTACATACATATTACCTTCCTGTAGGTTACAGGCCCAACGTTATATCATGTACATCTTATTTTATATAATTGCTTTTTAAAATCATTTCAGAGGGAAGAAGAAACAATACATTTATACTGGTTTTCAAATAAATAAATGTCCAATATAAATCTGGATTTTTAAAAAATACTTACACAATTACCTTTACTCTTTGTTTTTTCATGTAGATTTAAATTACCATCCAGGGACACTTGCTTCAACTTGAAGAATTGTTAGTATTTCTTGTGAGGCGAGTCTATGTCTCAGTTTTGTTTGTCTGAGAAAGTTTTCATTTTACCTTCATTTTTGAAAGATAGCTTTTTTTGGTTAACTATTTTTTCTTTTTCTTTTTCTTTTTTTTTTGAGACAGAGTCTCACTCTGTCACCCAGGCTGGAGTGCAGTGGCACGATCTCGGCTCACTGCATCTTCTGCCTCCCAGGTTCAAGCGATTCTCCTGCGTCAGCCTCCCGAGTAGCTGGGACTACAGGTGTGTGCCACCACGCCCAGCTAATTTTTTGTATTTTTAGTAGAGATGGGGTTTCACTGTGTTAGCCAGGATGGTCTCGATCTCCTGACCTCGTGATCTGCCCACCTCAGCCTCCCACAGTGCTGGGATTACAGGCGTGAGCCACTGTGCCCAGCCCTATTTTTTTCTTTGAGTACTTTAAATATATATGTCATTACCTTCTGCCCTCCATTGTTTCTGTGGAGAAATCAGTCATTAATTTTATTGGGGTTCCCCTTGTAAGTGATAAGTTGTTTTTCTCTTACTCCTTTCATGATTTTCTCCTTGTCTTTTGACCTTCAACATTTTTGTTGCAACTTATCTATTTTGTGGATCTCTGTGTTTATTTTCTAATAGTTGGAGGACATTGAGCTTCCTGCATGTAGAGGTTATTGATTTTCAGTAAATCAGAGA